TGTATTATGACAGTGAGGAAAATTTCCTCCTTTGACTCAAGCGCGATGATACAACAGAGAAATTAAAGCCACATACGTCGGCAGAACAGACTGTTTGGGTCAATTTAAGGTGAATATTTTCTTGAGTTTCCTCACAGAAAATGTAGATGTAATTAAACTATGTGCTCATTTTATACTGTCGACCCTTTTAACCCTAATAAATAGTTTACGTCGAACATAGTATTCCTTTTAAAGCTTCATAATGTAACATAAGGACGATACAATTTTTTTTGTTAAATAAGTTAAATCAACCATATTCCATTGCGTATAAGTACCATTCAGGAAGCAGGGTTGCCAAAATGTATTACGAGTGTGTCCAAAATCTAGATAAAAGTTGTCAGCCATGTTTGTTTACATTCTGGTAGTTTCTGGTGGCACCTCAAACTGAGTTTGTCTCATGTGAGCGGTTTTAGCACCAACAGCAAATATTTTTTCAATGAAGAATTGCAATTTTGATGCAAAAATGTTACATAATGCTCCCTTTAGGTTAAAAAAAACTGTGCAAAATGCTACCAAAGCTACAAGCAAATCCATCTTTACCAAAATATTATAAACAACAAATGGTTTAAAAGTTGATATGAGTGGACTGTAAAGTAAATAATAAATCTTTGACATGTACATGAGCAACGTTATTACTGCTATTAGAAAAAAAAACTATAGAAAATCTAATATCTTTTTCTGTTTCTTTTTCTCCCAAATGAACAGAAAGTGAGAAAGGCCGCATGTTGTCCCCAACACCATTAAAACCTAAATCTACGACAGACGTTTATACTTATTTTCAAAAATTCGGATTAAAGAACAGTAAAGAAAGAAAATTCTCCATACATTGTTCCTATTACACTATTTTGGACACGTGATGAGACATTCTGCATTCGCTAGCATCCTGCCAGTGTGACAAAGCTTTAGACACTGTATCCTGGTCAATTTTGGGAGCAATTTCCTTGATGATCGCCATCATTTCAGACATGGAGTGAATCTTAGTCTGCCTGAGTGTATGGTCGCCTTGTTCCTCCAACAGAAACCAGTCCTTGATCGCCCGAAGTCTGTCCTTCTGGAACGTGATGACGCGCAAGCTTTGCAGAAACTTTCCCGGAACGGTGTAGACCGTGTTCATGGGTTCCCGGAAGAACGCCAAGTCCCTCGGCTCGAGCGTGAAGTCGTAGAATCGGCGCCAGGTACCAGGTTGCTGTCCGGGGCCCAGAGGACGAATGTCCCCGCGGCGATGTTGCCTTTCGATCAACTCCCCCTTTTTCACAAACCTGTACTCAAGAAACGAGTGCTGGTAAACCGGCGACTCTTCCTGGAAGTTGAGAGGAATCGCCTGGAATGTTGGGTGACCACATCCGACCTCTGCGAGGTAGACGTCATCTCTTTCCGCCACGTTTCGCACACCTATAATGACGTGGCTAATCGGATAGGAAACACTCGAAGATATCAAGAAGACATCATAATCCAGCGCTTGTAGCAAGTAGAAGAAGAAGACGTTTTGCGTCATGCATAGCCCGCCCTTTCCCGACAATACGTCTTGTTTAACTTGATCTGGCGTAGGGGCTGCTCTGTACTTTGTTTCCGTAGAAAAGAGCGTTAGGTTTTGAAATGGTAAGGAGTTGTGATAGGAGCGGATGGCTTCATTCAGAAGACCAAGCTTATCATCCACTAGTCTCCTCTCTGCCTCTGTAATCCTTAGATCCTCCGCCAAAAAATTCAGAGCCTCTTCCCGGCTAAGCATCGTCTGAAATCATTCAACAAACCCATCGTTATGAATGCACCAGGCATGAACTATGTCTATGACGTATTGCTGATCAGATAGTTTACATGTATCAGTAATTTACCCAAAAGACGGTCTAGCTGGGAGCACCCTGGAATAATCAGTCAGCCCGCTGGTTTTCAAAATAGACGCTGCCTGGGCTTCAGGCCTAGGTTAGTTTTACACACGTACTGTACATGTAGTTAGCTAAGATCGTAGATTGTGTCTGCTGTTAGTTCTCATCCGTAAATAATCACATATTGTATCGGTAACCGGACTAGTAACTATATCAATAGATCCGTAACATGTAAGCAGGTCACTGTACTAGACTACTATTGTATATCCTCTGATGAACCTGGCTGCAAAGTGTGCAGCATTCAATCACAACTACACAACAATACATACAACAGCAATAGACCCGGCTTTGCGTATTTCTATTTCTGAATATTCTCGCGGTTAGGGTTAGACAGTAAGACCCATATATTACATGAAGTTTAATTTTTCACTTTCAGCTATAAGGAGATGCAACGTTGCCATGAAATTGGAACCAACATTTTTCTTAATTTCACTGCTTTGCAAAATAGAACCAGAACAGGATTGACTTATTTACAGGCATTACAAATTACCTACCAACATCTTGTAAACAGAGAAGCTTTACCCAGGATGGTTAACAACCTGATTATTTGAAAACTCTTCATGGACTAAAAAGAAAAATACTTACACACCCTTCAGTGTGCCAAAAGCTGAGCTAAGATGAAACTTGAATCCCATCGACGAACGCTGTTTGTTCGAATTTTTATGCATGGTCTTCTCGGCGAAATTGAGAAGGCAGAGTCGGACTTTGGATGGAAGTATTGTTTGCCCTTTGAACTGTCACCAACCGGTGATATTTACAGGTTACGGTCGCTATATACGAAGGCCCACAACGACACTTCCATACACCTCTTCCACAGCCCTTCCGCACAGCGCTGCATATAGTTTGCTTATCAGAAATTTTGTATACATTAAAATTGTTTATTGGTAGATGTTTGTCCCAATATTTGACTTTAAGTGCCACAATGCACGCACTAAATTTGGTGTTTTAATAAGAAAAGAAGACCGTTCAAGATCATTAGCCCTGTATATAAAATGTTTCAGTACACATTCTTAAAATTCTGTTTGATAATTTCCAGGACATTTACCGGCAGTAGAGGCGGTTTCCATAACTGCCCAGTACGCCGTGACGCACCAGTGGGCCCGGGGGTTCAGCGGCCGGGTTATCCTCAGCTTCCCGCACGGGGTCAGCGGAGGCTGGAACATGACTCTCGACTTCGACCGAAGAATCAACTCAATCGAGGTAAAAACTTAGCATTTATTTATTTATTTTATTTCTGTATTCTTTAACCAGGGTAGCACTAACTCAGTGACATAGCACTGCTTTACAGAGTGGCCCTGGGTACGACACATATATACACGGAAATACAACAATATATACACCAAAAACAATATCATAAACGTGATCCATTACTCGTAATCAGGGTCATGCCAGGTCGTGAGGGAGGGAAGTCAGAGGTCAAGTAACTGAGCATACAGTGTTCTGAACGTCTGTATCGACGGTGCAGTTCTAACACCGGGTGGGAGTTTATTCCAGCCCACTGCACCTCGATAAGCATGAAAAAGTTCATCTTTGTTGGTACAAGTCATTACGAAATAAAGAGTAAACTTCCAACACTTAGATTACGGAATTGGGACTTACCCAAATTTTCGGTTGACTCCATCAAGGAGTTCATGAGGTAAAAACTTCTCTACAGCCTCATTTCAGTACATCGTAATGTTCTCATCACGGAACTAAGATATCCCATGCATGTAGTGAATGAACATTGTACACGGTGTGTAATTTAACAAAAACAACGTCGCCGACAGAAGACGGTTGCTTGTTTCGTATCGTATGCTAGCTTTAGTTATTTATCCTATTTATTTTCTACCAAAAAGAAATTGTCCTAAAAAAGCGTGCTAACTGCATTGAAATGGGCTAAAGATTGCAAACAAACAATGAGGCATTGTTTTACCAGATTATAAAAACATCACGTCTGTTTCTGTCTGGTAAAAAAAAAATGGGTCAGCACCCCCTATAGCCCATTATTTTTACGAAATAGTAAGTCAAAATCTCTCTGGTTTATAATCAAGTCTCGTAAGCTAGCCATAGCTTTTTTTCTTGGTGGTAACAAACAATAAGTATCTTGTTTGGGTGTTATTTTGAACACTTCAAAGAACGTAATGATGACGAAAAAGCGGTACGAAATAGCGGTAATTGTCAATATCGGACAGTTTTTCCCCGAAATTGCATGGGATGCCTTTAAGCTCAGGACAGTGGGTATTTGAGAAATCCAAGCGCTATGAATGATGTAGTATAACTTTCGTCTTTTTTTCGAGCGATTTTTGTTTTATAATATACTGTTTTATTTCATATAGATCTGGCGGGCTGACATTACGGGAACCAATAGCAACCGTGATGTGTACTATCTTTCCAACAAGTCTGACAACAGCGACTTACCGGCCGGCAACTATGAGATCACGTTTAACGCGGAATATACAGGAACCGACCCTGTATTGACAGCCATTTACTTTAAAGGACAACTCGTATACGGAGACGGAGGGACACCTGCAATAGCTGCACCTGCAACAGCTGCTACCCCAACCATCACACCTGCTCAAGTTGCAGCTGCACCGACAACACGTGATGCCACTGTGCAGGCACAAACTACCAAGGTTCTTCTTTTGATGTGTACATTCGCAAATATGACGTATTTCCTTTGCAAATGATACCTGTCTAGTTCTTTCCTTTTTTCGAATCTGTGACATGGAAGCAACAGGTTCTTCATTTGTCATATATAAATCTGTGTACTAGGTAAGGGGACAATAAAAATAAATTGATTTTGAATGGTAGAATGTAGACGATTACGGATTCAAAACTATAGAAATTTCACACCAGTTATAATAGTAGATACAATAACGTTTTCTTGCATTATGTAAAAATATGTGAACGAACGTGTCTAAAGATACGCTGCGTGTCGGGTTAAGTACTAGTGAAGACTTGAGCGACAAAATGCCACTCATGAAAGTATTTCTGAATAGGGAGAAGACCCAAACTGTGGTGACGTTGTAGTGCGAGCAGACAGTGAGGGCTATGGTGGTCTGTCCGGAGTGTGTTCTTATGGTATGTGTGTAGTACATGTATTGTCAATGCAGACACATTCACATTTCTAATGAGCTTAAACAAACGTCTAATCCTAAAACATGTCTGTTCTTACATCCGTAAATAATTTCATCAGGTTGGTAAACGACTGAATAGCAAAGTTCTTTGATCACAAACATTTATTTTTCATGAGCCGACGTTTTGATGACCGTCTGTCATCTTCATCAGGGCAATTCTGACTGGTTTACTGTTTACATCAAGAATTGCCCTGATGAAGATGACAGAATTCGAAGGTCATCGAAACGTCGGCTTGATGAAAATAAATGGTTGTGATAGAAAGAACTTTTCTATTCATCTCTGTTCTTACCTTTTCACTGTCACAGAAAAGTTAAATTTACAGCGTACCGATAGACTATAGTGCTAGTGCTAGGTCTAGCGGTAGCTTAAGCTTACACTATAGTGCTAATGCTAGTTTGATCGTGTTTATGTACACAACTTTTCATTTGATGTGTCATTTACAGTAAAGGTCTCATTATGCCCCCCTCCATGTAGGATCGTTGCGACGCACACCGACAATCCGCACAGCAACGTGGCGTGCTGAGGAAAGCCACGCCCTCGTCAATCACCTCATCAGTGTGAGCCAATCAGAGAGCAGAATGGAGTGCTGCGCGGCGTGCCTGAATGACGTCAACTGTTGCTCTGTGAACTACGAGGAGACGACCGGGAGATGTGAGCTGAACGGGACAGACGGCCGGACCTGCCCCGCCTCTGTTGTGCCTCGTGAGGGTTACGCCTTCTATCAACCAACGGAGTGATACAATCCTGAAAGGCACTCAATGCAATTTAAGTGTGAAAAAAACAACTACAAAAAATATTCTGGATTAAAAAATCTGTCTGATATTGACATTTACTGCTATTTCGTAGCACACTTCTGTCATCATTTCATACTTGAAGCGTTTGAAATAGACCAACTGAAAAAAGCTACGTGCGCCGTCTCTTTATTTTTTGTAACGCTCAAAAAAAGCTAGAACAATGCACCTATCTCCGTCATGCATCTGATTTTTGCTTCAAAGATATCAGTATGCTATGGGAGAGGATTAATTCAACTTAGTACATTAAAAGAATAACCAGAAAACTGACTGAAAATTCAGTTTTGCTGCCCTGCAACTTTTATTACTTTTTATCTATAATAATCAGTATGTAGTGAATTGGCAAAACATCTCCAAGTAACACCAACATGTCAGCTATAACCCCAGTTTGGACAAAACGCATGTACGTACTTTCAATCTTAGCGCTGACATGAATTGTCTGGTTTCAGAAGATGACTCGTGGGCTGCTTTATCTACATAGAAATGAATTGATTCCGTCTGCATATTACAAATGTTAAGGTTTTGATGATATAAAAGTTGATTCCTTTGATGTATATAGCTTTATTCCTCACGTTTTGATGTATACCTAACTACTAAACAGTTATCCAGCTGCTGCCATAATGCTGGTATATTAGAACACATGTAAAAAGGAATATAAGAATTGATATTGTAAAAAATCAATCTGTATAATGAAATTATCTGGCCTCCCAAGCACTAAGACACTAATACTCTGCTAAGTTATATTGGATACACATATTTTGTGTTCTATTACTGTTGTAAATGTATTGTTTCATTAATTTTACATTCATTAACTTTGACATGTCTTTGGTAACTGGCTGTGTTATCAACAATGTGTCATTGTAGTTTTTCATGTATGGGCATGGCGTAATATGAATAAAAACTTCACGTAATTATAAAGCTATCGTTATTCACGAAAAAGGGAAGAAAACAGAGTTTTCAGCCAACCCCATCACTACCAAAAATGCTAATCTTGTTTTTCTTCAGAGAAGAAAAATTTTCTTCCACTGAGAAAATTATTCTTCACCCAAGAAACAAGACTTTTGAAAAAAGTTTATCTCGGCCGCTGGCCATGTAGTTTTGTGTTCTTGGAGGATGTCCACATAGATTTGTGTAACTGCTAGAGAGGAAAGAATGTATTACCTAGTATGTTCATACCTGTAACACCAAACAGGGTAATAAGTTGGCTTCCATTATCATTTGCTTCAATGGAATTAGTGAAAAATGATCATTGCTAAATACAATATAACGTTAAGTATATGTAACCACTACAATAATTTTCATTTTATTTATTTTTT